AGTAGGGACCAAATCAGGGATTTTTTTAGTTTATGGACCAAATCGGGGTAAAAATGGTAAACAGTAGGGACCAAATCAGGGATTTTTTTAGTTTAGGAATCAAATCGGGGTTCGTATAATAGTTTAGGGACTAAAAAGGGGTTTTAACCTTAATAAAACGGAAAAGTTAGGTGTTAGGTGGATTTTAAATAGCCTCTAAATTTTTAATTTAGAAAAAAAATTACTACTTAGTGGAGTTGTATTATTATGAGAGTGAAGGAGTCCTTAAACAGCATACCAAGACATGATTCTTTTCCTTTTTGGAAAATCGGCGATTCGATATGTCTTTCTTTTTTTTTTTTCCTGAATAAGAGACATATTCCATATGCATATATATCCCACTCTTACTCTGACGGCCAATACAACTTCCTCATATAAGTTATATTCCTTTCTTTTCCCCTAAACAATACAAACAACTTTGTAGGCATTTGGAAAATGATTTAGGGACAATTTTTTGGTATTTTTTTTTAAATAATTTTATGTATTATTTAAATAATTAATTTTTTTATTTATTTAAAACTCGTAACATTAAATATATTTACTTATTTAATAATATATAAAAGATGTATTAAAAATTGATAGAAAAATGGTCCTTGTATTATCTGCCGCAGGCATTTTTCTAGAATACATGAGCATCTGCATTTTAAATCAAATTAATTTGCTAATCAGTTAGACACCCTTTGTTTCTATTTAGTCTAACTTCTGAAATGATTTCAGTTTTCTAAAAAATTGTTCTCAATTTCTAAGAAGATAGAATCTGAAACACTAAACCTAAACCTATTGCTTTTAGAGTACATCTTTTTGCTATTAAGTTTTTAAACCTAAAAAAATCTACTCAAATACCACTTCTACAAGTTGGCCAAAAAAATAAACCACTTTTATAAAAAAATAAACGATTAAGTCAAACAGATATTTGGTAAAAATAATTAGGAGATTAGTAATACAAAAAAATGATATACAATTTATCATGTATAAAGTGCATATCTCATAATTATTGATGAAATATAAATCTCTTAATATTAAGGTAACCTTCTCTCTATTAAGACAACTATCACTTTAGTAGTAACATACCATTCCAATTAGAATTGGAATAAGTTATGTCCCCACGAAATTAAAAAGAAAGCTCCCTAGAAGATGTTACATATTTCAGGTACATTGCAATACTAACGGCCCCAAAAAATCAAGATTTGGGCCTTTTGATGATGGTTACTTGGGCCTGATCCAACATACTTCGCGTTTCCTCTCCGTCTCTCTTTTTTTAACTAAATAAAGAAAGGATTGTTAGGATGTATCTATTTTTTAAAGGTAGGAAAAAATTGTTATTAAAATAGATAAAACATAAAATTTATAAAAAAAAAGTAATATTAAATAATTAGTTTATACTTTTTTTATTTTAAAATAATTGTCAATTTTTACTTGTTTTTTAAAATTAGGGATTTAGGACCATTCATATATTTATCTATATTACTTTAAGAAAATGTTAAAAGATAAAGTAAGATTTTTTATGATAAGATAATTAATCAAAATAAATAGATAATGAGAGGGTTTAAGTATAAAAAAATATTTGTCTACTTTAAAAATTTGACAATTAATTTAAGATAAACTTCAAGTCAAGTATCATAGTTATTTGGAGACAGAGAGAGTAGATATTTTAATAAATTTAAGAGATTTTTTAAATATTTTTTAATAAAAAATTGTGAAATTAAAATTGTTCTAACAAACTTAATATATTTAATTTAAAACATAATTAATTTAAGATTAAATTAAAAAATTTTCACACAAATATATACGGTAAAAAGAAGACTACTACAAAAATGGTTTCAAATAAAATAAAGATAGAAATTTTTTTTCATACAAATAGAAAAAGATATAAATTAAGTAAAATATATTTTAAAATAGACAAAAATTTTACAAAAATTACACCAATTATTATTGCTTAACTTAAAATTTTTACATACGAAAAATGCTTTCAAAGATCAAAATATTTATAAAATTATTATAAAATCAAATTAATTTTTAGAAAGACAAACATAGAGAGAGAGAGAGAGGAGAACACCACCTTCTTTATACTACTAAAGATGAGGATGTATTACAAAAGGTGAAGTGCAAATTTTTTAATCCTTCCTCTCTTTTGATGTGGGGCTTCCAATTATTGTGAATCCAACGTTGGCTTACTAGTTGCCCCTCTATTATTGTCCATGACATGGAACTCGCAAAATCAATCCTCACTTCCCACCATCTTTTATTTCTCAAACATCACCTCTCTTGGATTGTAGAAGATCGATTACCATTAGATTAATTTTAATGATTAAGACTTAAAATTGAGATCCACAATTCATTTCCATTTTTTTTTTTTTAAAAAGCATAAACAAACTGGTTTGAAAACCGGATTAGAATGAGATAATTTCAGACCAAAGTGGTAAGGTTAAAAAGTAAACTAATTATAAAAAGAAAATGATTAATACACATTTAATTTAACATAATTTTTAATATTTATTTTAGTTTAGTTATTAAAATATAATATAAATATAATTATTTTAACTAATTTTTATTTCTTATATATAATTATATTTTTAAATTTATTTATATTTAATTTTAAATTTATTTATATTTAATTTTAAATTAAAAAATAATAATTTTTTTATAAGTACATTAAATTAAAATGTATATCAATTATAAAAATAAATATCAAAATGACTCAAGATAAAAACAAAACAAAGAACGGCCACAAAAGGTTAACAGACAAAACAAAGAAAGGCCACAAAAGGTTAACGAACATTCATGAATTTTATCAAAATATGGTACAAGGGTCATTCCCACCTCTCCTTTGTCCCACTGTACTAGTAAAAATTATTCTCATAAAAATTACCCCGACAAATCCAATGTTTCAGAATACTATGTAAGAATTGAATATAAATTTGGTTAAACTTTTAATTTAGGTCCCTCAACTTTTAGTTTTATATTAAAATTATCCTTACATTTCAAAAAAAATACTAAAATTATTTTTAAACTTTAGTACCAAAATAGTTTTAAGTTTAAAATATGAGAACCAACTTAGTTCTTGAACTTTGAAGAAAAATATCAATTTAGTCTTTAAACTTTGATTATAAGTACTAATTTGGTCCTTCAAGTTTAATTATACATTAATCTAATACTTAAATGAAAATATATCACAATGATAAAGTATGAGTATTTGATTTTACAAATCATTAGTTTTAAAAAAAAAAATTAATTTTTTGACAAGATAACATGTCACATGATACTTCTATTAATGGAAGCACTATTTTTGTATTGAAAATTAAAGTTTAAGGATAATTTTGATATTTTTTGAAGTTTATGGACTGTTTCAGATATATCTAAAAGTTGAGAGAATAAATTAGTATTTTAACCTATAAATTTTTATATTAAGAATTATATTTGAGAAATGAATATATCCCAGTCCCAGGTTGTGTTGTGAATTATTTGAATTCGTTTTCAAAAAAAGATGATAGGTCACCGTCTAAATCCACTGATCCTTTTTTCACCTAAATTTGAGCCAAACATATGGGCATGGATTGCTCCATACCTTACCCTACCCATCATGATCCACACCATGAAAATGATCTCTTGGATGCATTCCACCACGTCACAAACCTTTTTCTCATTTCACTTTCCCTAAGGTTAGGGCAG